CCCATCACCCCACCAGCGATCTCCACAGATGCAAGCCCCCATCTGGCCCCCAGGCCTTCTGGCAGAGCTTTTCTTCTCCCTCTCCAATCCGGAACCAACAACCACTCTGCACACTCATATAATTTTACTCTCCAACTTCTCTCTCAAGCCACTCCATTTTACACAGTCTTTTTCTCTCATTTTCTCTGCCTGTCTTCTCTCTGTCTCTAATTTTTAGTCTGCCTGGCAGCATGTCCCCCAGCAACAGAGGAGGTGGATGTCCACCCAGAGCTCTAGTCCCAGCACTTATATGCAAGGCAGGACCAATGAGAATGCTGTCCACCTCTCCTCACAACTGCCCTGGCCAGCAGCCAGATCAGCTCATCAGTTCTCACTTCAAAGCTAGAATAGAGCTTCTTCTCCCCATTTTCTCTCTCCTTTTGCTGAGTCACAGCAGCACAACAGTTGCCAGGCCAGGCCACCAAAAACCATATGCCACAGTTTTGTTTTGTTTGTTGTTTTTGTAGGAACACACTCATTGGTGCAGGTAACTTCTTCTAACCCAGTGGTCCCAACCCTGGGCCCAGGTGACTGAATCAGGTGCTTAGATAAATGTAATGTCTGTACTCCTAAGAGTAAGACAAGAACAATGGGTAAAAACTTTACAGAAGGAGATCTAAGCTTGAAAAAAGGAGAAAGCCACTTGCCTGGGATATTATGAGGATTCCTGTTCTAGGTAAGGGGTTGGACTGGAAGACTTTCAAGGTCCCTTCCAACTCTATATTCTGTGGTTTTATGAATAGGACCACATCCTTCCAAAGGATGGTGGTGGATGAATGCTTTGACCTGGCATGTGAGACCTCAATAGGTGAAGATGAAAATGTATTCTGTTGGCTATGTCCTCCTGGGTTTTAGGTTCTGCAACAGCCACAATGCCAGGGCTGGAGAGAAGGAATTGCTGCAACCACTGGTAAGACTTTTGCAATGGCCAGTAGCATTGCTTGAGAAGCAACTAGTTTTGAGTACCTATATGTGAAATTAGATTGGACAGACAAGCTAGAGCTGTACCAATTTTTATGCTGTCTAGTTGCAACCCCTTCCCAAACTTCTGGGAATCATTTTGAGGCTGGAATTGGAACGGGTCAGCAAACCTCTTCAGGGTGACCCAAATTCTTCTGGGAAGATGGGCAGGATAAAATGCTTGCAGACCATCCAGATGATTTGTCACGCTTCCTTGTGGGTAAAGCTGCTCATGTTTAGATGACATTCCTGAACAACAGCTCCACTGTGCACTCTCTTTGTCTTATTCTTCTCTCTATTTGTTCCAGTGGTGAAATATCAACAGATCATTCTAAAGTATTATCCAGCGATCTACTGAACAAAGGAATGTTTGGCAGTTGCCATAACAATATTTAAGTTACCTAGACTGCCTTATTCCCTCTTTGGATGCAAAATGGCAGCATTCTCAAGCAGAGTGAAAATACATATTTTCAGTTAAGATGCAGGTGCTTCTGTTTGCAACTCTTTCTGCCATCACCTAATATTAAATCTGAAGAAAGAGTGTCATAAATATTAGACACCCTTTTTCCCCTGAAAAAGCTGGAGCAAATAACATCTGCTTAGGTAGAGTAAATATGCTCATTTGCATTCTTTTACCGCTCATGCAGAAACAGCAACAGCAAACAAGTGATGGTTATCAAATGGGATTATTGAAAATAGTAAATTTAGGGAAAGAAACTGATAAAAAGTGTGAAAAGATAACCTCCAGAACTACAGGCTGGCTAGGATTAGGAAGGGATAGAAGTGTTAGACTTCACACAGGCATGGTTTGATTCATGACTCAAGACATTGAGTCTTCAGAAACTCAATCCCCACCCCCAATACATACACCCAGTAACTAGCTAATAACAGAATTGTCAAGCACTCAGCACAGGGGCATAAAAGTGTTATTGCAGAAGATCAGCTACTACAGAATACAGAATTCCAGAAATAGGAAGGTAGGTAGATAGACAGCTAAGTGAATCTCTCTCTCTCTCTCTCTCTCTCTCTCTCTCTGTCTCTGTCTCTCACTGTGTGAGTGTGTGTGTTTGTGCGTGTGTGTGTGTGAGAGAGAAATTACATGTTTTAAATCCTAGATCTCATTCTTCTATCCTTTTATGCTGTTCTTTTCCAAGAATGGAAAATAAACAGTAACCTGTTCGTGTGTGTGTATATGTATGTACAGTATATCAATATCAATATCATGGTTTAGTTTTGCCTGT